GGACTATTTTAAGGACTGGGAATATACTAACTTTTTCAGAGTAAATTTAGTTGGTATAGGAAAAAACAACCTTACTACACTTCCTTGTTTATATTGTCGCAGAATGTAAACTGCATTATTGCATACACACATGTATACATATATACACACAATTTTATTCGCATACATTTAATACACTCACATAGAGTGTTATATGCTATATAGCAAATCTCAACTGCTAGATGTTTTATTTTGTAGCAAAATGTCAGCAAAAACAGCCTCTCTATAGTTTTAAATTGTTCTTGTTTAAAATGTATTATCGCGTAGCTCTATATATAAAGTTATATTACAGTATATCCGACTTTAGAGCCATACATTGTACGGTACATTCATTTAAAAACATATATACCATATAGAAAATCTCAGCTGTCTGATTTTTTTTATCAAAATGTAACTATATAATCGCCCAGTTCTTTATTATGAAGTTGGATGTATTATTAGAGACGACAATAATACATCCAACAATGCATCATTGTAAAATGTAAACTATATTTTTGCCCAGAACTAATCTGCAAAATGTGACTATAAGGCATGAAGATATTAAAATATTATAAACTTAAATGTCATGATTTTCTGTGAAGCTGCTTTGAAAATTGTTGTGACTGCTATACAAATACATTTGGCTCAACGTGATTGTCTTTTTAATGTAAGCATTTCAAAGGTCCAGGTGTGAGTCACAATTTACTTTGAATGATCAATTACAATCTGAATTTTGCTGTCGTAAATTACACAATTCAAATCAAAGTCTTCCTGAATAAAGCATCTTGGCCGCTAAGACATGTTTATAGTCTGTACATCTTCCTCAGTTCATCCACTGTTGGCAGGTGTGGGCTAAGTTGAACCTGAGAGTGTTTTTGTGTGAATGTGGCAGCAGATTTTGACACACAGTGACAGGGTGGTCTGCTTGCATCACAGCGTGTCTGTATTGGGCTGACATTATCTAACAGCTAACTGTCCATCATAGCCGATGGGGAGAGGGATAGCACAGATTAACATATCCACACATATAGACAGCACTTAACTACAAAACTCCGCATTTGAACAGTCAATAGCAAATACTTAAACTAATAACAAAACAGTAGCTGATTCAGAAGCTGGCTTGTGTAATAATAGTGGTATATTTATTTTATTTTTACTTTTACTTTTTTATTTTATTTTGTACATTTTCTAACTATTTTTATTTATTTATTTGGTTTAATTTTAATTGGTTTTTGGCCGGAGAGTAGTGATTAAACATAAAATGAAACTGAGACTTGATTCTGAATTTAAACTCACAGAACCTGACCTACAAGAGCTCCGTTGCTCAATGTGCAAGTTTTCGGTCAGTTTTATAGAAGTCAGATTTTTATTGTCTTGAAATGTTGTTCATCTGATTTTATTAGTTTGATTTGGTTAACAGAGTGTCTGGACCAGAGCCAGCTACCAGCGAAGTACCCTTGAATCCAGTCCATTTCAGCATCATCCAGTCATTCACCAGCTAACCTTGTTCCATTTTCTACAGATTCCTCTTCCTTTCACCCACAGACGGGGGGAGGAAGGGAGTGAGAGAGAAGCAGACAAAAAGTGCTGGCAGGGACTAGATTGTCTCTTTCTCTTTGTCATCTTTTCAGATCAGAGTGCATATTGTAGTGCCATTTAAATGCCCGTCTTTTCCTCATTTAATTTATTTATTTTTTTCTTTCGAATAGAGACGGATAGCTTGGAGGAATCTCTCTCTTGCTGTCATTCTCTCTCTGTCTCGCTTTAGTGTTAAGGTCAGTTCATCATAGTGAGTTGAATAAGTGGAGCCTGAGGGAATCTTAACAAAGGTCTTGTTCTGATTGGATAATGAAAGCACGGGGCCCAAGGAGCAAGAGAAATCGCTAGTTGCCATAGCAATAAGAGACCAACGTGGGTACCATATTCTACATGTGCGAGAATGCAGCAGAGAAAAAGAAAAGATTTTTGACTCGGAGCCTGTATAGGAAGCATGTCTGTGTCTTGGTTGTATGACATTCAGAGCTAACAGCATACGGGTGCAATGCGTCGTACCCCTCACCCTCTGCGGAGCGAGCATCACTTGAGTAAAGTTGTCAAATACATCGCTTTTACAGAAAATACCTTGGCTATGAGCTAAAATAAACTCAACCTTGCACACCAGGATACAGGCATCAGTCGCTTTCATAAACACCAGCACAAGCTCACTTCTCCTGGGCCTACAAATCACCATGACCTAGAACCTCTCTGTGTGTGTTTTCAACTGAGCTGCCACGACCCTATTCCCCAAGCCTGTGTTGTAAATATACCAGACTTCTTTCTCTTCCTGCAATTTTTTTCCCCCCTGCTTGTTTGGCTTCCTCAGAGGCGACTCGTGTTTTCACTCCTTAATGATCCTTCCTTATGATGGATCGAGACTTTCTTGCCCAAGCCAAGTAGCGCTTCCGTATCTTCAGCAGACCCAGGTGCTGATGGAAAGGCCTGTGTGAGGTTCTCCAGGGATGAGAGAAAGTGGGAAGAGAAGTTGGAAAGGTCTCATATTGTGAGGTTGTAGGCCTGGTTACTCTCCATTTCTTCTCATAGAGCATGGCCGAAACTTTCTCGCTGTTGTTCTGGAATCGCAACATTGACTTTTGGCCTCTATAGAATATTTTATGTAAAAAAGAAAAGGAAAAAAAAAACAGTGAGACATGATTTTACCATAGTTAAAGGGGTCCTATTATGCTTTTTCACTTTTTGAATTTCAGTCAGCGTGTAGTGTGTATGTTTGGGCATAAAAAAATCTACAAAGTTACAAATCTCAAAGTCCACTCCAAAGGGAGATATTTCGTTTTTTAAAAATCCATTTTCAAGAACTACAACGAACAGCTCGTTTGGACTAAAGCGTTGTTTTCTAGGTTCTGTGATGTCACAAAGCGGCCCATTAGAATATCATTCAAATAAATCCCGCCTACAGAAATTTGAATGGTTGGGGGGTGGGGAGGGGCGAGGTCGGGGTTAGAACGCTTGGTTGAGTGCATCAGACAAAACGACGATGAAGAAGAAGTGCTTCTGTAGTTTTTATATCACTGTATCTCTGAAGGAATCCGACTGTCTTTAGAAAATTTTGGATGTAATTTTCATTTCATCTTGCATGTAATGCCTGATAAATCTCTCCCGCTCTACAAGTGCCTCCTGCTGGCAGAGAATGAATTTGAATATATATGCCACCACAAATAGAGTAAAGTCTGTAGGAAACACTGCATCATGTTATAATGTTAGAATTAAAGAACAATAAACATAATACATATTACCGTTGCACTTTTCTGTACATAGTAAATGCAGTTATTTTTAAGCGGTTGTTGACATCATATCTAAAACGTGATTTAGCCCAAAAAAAAAACTAAACAACAATAACGTTACCACTCTAATATGTCTTGCAATATCTGTGCGTGCAAAGGTTCTGCACGATCCTCTTGTTCAATATTATCGGGGTCTGAATTCGGCTCAAATTGATATGGCAATATTGACACCATTCTTTATACTGGAGCAGACGGAACATGCTGCTTTGGCAAGGGGCGTGGCAGTACTGAAACACCGTCTAAGCTGTTCGCCAATCACAAGGCACTGGTACAGTTAACCAAGCACTACACATTTCGTTTTTCGGAAGGCGGGCCTTCATCAAACCCGGAACTAATCAAGCCGTTTGTGCCAGGCCGGGGAGAAAGGTATTGTAATAATGTAAATTATGTGAAAAAATTATGAATTTTTCGAACCACCAAGCATGAGAGCATGTTCTAGTACACCCCCAAAACAAAATCAAAACTTTGTAAAAGAGCATAATAGGACCCCTTTAAGTGATTATTTTTTTGATGCATTGTGTACTCCTAATAATCTTTTTAAACGTTTTTAGGGATACACTTTAAGGTCCCATTCTCACCATTAACAAACCATTAACTATGACTTTTGCCTCAATAAACTCCTAATTTGCTGCTTATTAATAGTTAGTAAGGTAGTTGTTAAATTTAGGTATTAGGTAGCATTAGGGATGTAAAATATGGTCATGCAGAATATGTGCTTTATAAGTTCTAGAAAACAGCCAATATGTTAATAATAGGCATGCTAATAAGCAACTAGTTAGTAATGATAATTGGTTCCTATACTAAAGTCTCACTATTTTTAGTAAGTAAAGAGTATGTTTTTAATTAACATATATAGTTCAAACAGTACAGCATGGTGCTAGAAATGTCAAGGTCATGAGTTTTCCAGGGAATGCATAATTAATAATAATAAAAACTAGTGCTGTCAAGCGATTAATCGCATCCAAAATAAAAGTTTATGTGTGTGTACTGTGTATATTTATTATGTATATATAAATACACACACATACCGTATATATTTTGAAAATATTTACATATATATACATTTATATATTTATATTCTTATATTTTATATTATATATAAATATATGAAGAGTTCATTTGCAAAAACAGATAACTCCGTTTTTAACAATTCTCAGGAATCATGCTTTTTCATTGTGCATTCCAATTAATCTCAATCAAATTGCAGTTGGGTTATTTTGATTAAGCTAAAAAAATAACTAAAAAAAAACAGCTAACTAACACAGTAAAACACAATAAAAACATGATAACATAATAAAAAACATGATTTTTGAAAATTAAAAATCTGTTTTTGCAAATAAACTCTTCATATTTAATATGTAAACATAGCATATTTTTCTTAAATATATACATGCATGTGTGTGTATTTATATATACATAATAAATATACACAGTATACACACATATATTATGTAAACAAAAACTTTTATTTTGGATGCGATTAATCACGATTAATCGTTTGACAGCACTAATAAAAATATATTAATAAATAAAATGTATAATTTGAATGCAATGTAGAGTATGTAACTTATGAAAACATCTGCTAATTATATACATTTGAATTTTGTATTAATAGGTTTTATGTATATAGTGTCTTTCCACAAGCTCAAGTTACTTTACAATTGTAAAAAAAAAGAAAAACAATAGATAGTAATAGATAGATAAAAACAATAGTGCGCACACACACACACTGTATATAATAACCTATTACGACATTTAAAAAAATAAAATGTACTTAATAAGGATTTGTTCACAACATCAATATTCACAAAACAATTTATCTCCTAAATTATGTGGTTCTGTTTAAGTTATATAATAGGGTATTTATTAGCTTTTAAAAGGTTCACTGTAAAAAAAACAAAAAAAAACAAATACAAATAAAAATTCTGTAAAAACCAGGGGTGTAACGATTAATTCGTTTTCTCGATGCATCGATTACAAACCCTGACGATGCATATGCATCGATCTTGAAACATGGCTTTTGAATCGATTTCGGACAGTAATCGATTTAAAAAGCTAAGAATCGAATGAATCGCGATTTCTATTGCAATTCAATGCTTTCAAAATATATACACATTAAATTACTACAAGCACGAATTAATTGAGACCTTGAACAGTGTTCGTGCACTCGCATCTCTCCTTCACACGCTGCACTATTTACCACCTGCAGTGACTGTCACAAGATTGCGCTCGCGCTCAGTTCGTCTCACTGATGCAGCTGATGTGTGATCTCTCCTTAGTACTCGTGGCCAGTAATGCTAAAGTGAAGTTGTTTTGCTTTTCTGTAGTTTTTCAATGGCTCTTGGTCATACCGACGACATTACCTGAGCAGTCGTAGGTTGCGCATTTATTGCATGGACGGAGCAAAAATGTAAGTCTCTAAAAGCATACACACAGTTCCATTGAATGATAAATGTGTTTTAACAATGTTGTTTAACCGAATGTACTAAGGAAACTGTTAAAATAACCACAGCATTAACAACAACCTTGAAATAAGAGCGCGAGGTTTATCTGATAATCAGATGCATGAGAGTAGCGTTCGTTGCTATAGCAAACAGACATCGGGTGCGTTTTCTTTCAGGATCATCATTCGCCCATGGAGAGGAAAAGTTAAATACGATAGAATTTTATTTTATGAAAATTAGATAAATAAGTTTTCGCACTGTAAGAGAAGTGATCTCGCGCTCATAGAACTTAAGACGTGCCAGGCTATATCTGCAGCTAATCTGAATAAAAAGCAGAATGAGCTGAAACATTAAGACAATGTAAGGGAAACAGGTCAATTTAGCTCAAAGGGAATCATTTAAGATTTTAAAGGGAACTCCACCAAGTGAAGTAAAGAGTAAAAGTTGCTAATATCTTTGATACTCAGTACAACTACAAAGTACTCAAAAAGATACTCAAGTACAGTAACTAATTACATTTACTCCAATACTTTACACCTCTGCCAATCAGATATTGCAGTCTGAATGCCCATTATCTCCACGCCCAGCCTTCCTGCTGTTTCGTCCTCCATGAGATTTTAATGTGTGAATGTGTCTGCTGGGCTACAGTGAGAAGGTATATCACTCGGCTCTGAACCATTAGACTGTATTTAAAGGGGCTTTTAACACACTGCAGGCGTCACAGTCACATTGTGCTCATTGGCGTTCGGTTAATGGACTGCGCTGTGTTTTTCAGTCACTCAGACCCAGATCAGAGAGTGTGTCTACTGAGAATAAAGCATAAAAGTCTTCATGACTTCATTCAAAGCACAGAACTATATAATCAAAGGAAATGAGTAAATAAAGAAAAAAATTTTTTTGACTTAGTTTTGTAAAAGACTAAAGATTAATAACAAGTCGCTAAGTTTTATTGCCTTCGTGATTTAGTGTAACAACCACATGTTTTCCTCCTCATATGCAAAAGAAGAAAAAAAACTTGAGATGGAATGAAAAAGTAAAGTAGTTACTGGTTTTTGATTTTCATCCAGCAGTCATTTTAATGACATGTCAGGCCACGCAGGTGGTTGGGGAAACATAAATTCTTGCTGGGTGTTCTGAATCCAGCCAAGGTTCCAGAACTATCTGTCACGGTTCTGTTGAGATTTATGCTTGAGTGGAAGAGGCTGCTATAAAGTATATGTTCTACTTTATTCTGTGCAGAAAATTGAAATAATTGTTAATAGTATATAAAACAATCATAAAATTGCCATTATGAAAAAATTATAGATTACAAATGATTGATTATTGTCCAGCAGTGTATTTGATTTCTAATAGCAAATTCAAAGTAAGAGATAAGAAAATAATTCCTTGTAAAAAAAATAAAAAATAAAATAATACATACATAGGCCTACATAAAATTATTGTATTTGACATTTCTGTCACTTCTGAAATGATGGCTACGCCCCTGGTGTGACAAAATGTTAGCCTATACATAA